AGTTGTGCGTATGATGTAGACCAAATTTTTAGAGGTTAGATTAGACAGAGAGGTTAGTTAGATGTCACTGCTATAATTACCTCTATTCCTATTTTTCAAAATATTTAACTGTCATGATATGGTATTAGTCTCCCAATATCTGACCATATTTGGAAAGGTTTGAGTATTGGTCGAAAAATAGTCAATATGGTTTCACAAACAAGTATTATTCGTCATCGTCGTCATCGAAGTTGATCTTCCGCACCACTTTCTTGACGTCCTGCTTGATCTCGTCTTTATCATACATTGCAGCAAGGTGCTCCTGAAAACAAGCACAAGTTCATGAACTTCTCACGTTAATCAGATTTCCTTCCAAAGTCGTTACTACTCATCCACCGATCGTATGATTAAGGGTCCCACTAAGTATACTAAGGTGAACGCTTTCCTCTACTGGGAACAATTTGCTAGAACAAAAATTGTTGTTTTGCTTGCATAACCCAAAAATACGTAGGTTGAATCTTAGCGTGAATCAGACGTCAGGACATCTGCGAAGTTCTTATGCTTTTGATACGTTGACGACCTTGTGCATATGCGCATGTGCACACCCTGACTCTCGTTTAGCATTTTCGTGCATACGCACGTAAGCACGCTAGTCTTTTAGGTGTAAACGGTAGGTTCTAAGGTAATCTCTATGCAGTCAATCTATAGGAAATCTGCAAATCTATAATCACAGCAAATGTAGCCCTCACCTCGATAGACATGTCTCTAATCAAGTATTTGTGAAGCATCAATATAGGTTTTTTGACGACTTTGTTCGTTTGTGGATCTGTGTTCTCCTTCTCATCGTCTTCTTGATATACTGTGAAGCTGCTCGCACAATTATTCAGTTTCTTTATCGGGACCTAAAAATCGAACAAATATCACATTTTAGCAATTGCACAACTAGAATAGGATAGAGATAGTCTCTAGCCTAGGATTTTACGCAGAAAATTAGACTTTACAAAAAGGTTACCTTGCTAGCCTTCCATTTTTCTGCATTAGGATCTTGTAATGAAAATCGCTCAATGTGATTGTTCACTTCGTAGATGCCCTCTAGATAGCTTTCCATAACCTCCTCATCATCTTCTAGTATCTAAAAAAATTTTAAAACTTTCCTATGAATTCTATTGTCCAACATACTTGGAAAATTGGTACACCATTATTCACAGGTTTCTGCTTTTTCTGACCCCTGTCTA